TATTTTGTATCTTTCAAATGATTACTTTGATGTATTGAAATTTCCTGTAAAAAATGTTTTGCATTTCTGTCACAATTTTTTGCAATATTACATATTTCATATTGTGTGTATATTTGTTTGTTGAATTCATCTAAAATTTAGATAGTTGATTGTTATTAATGCTTCTTAGTTTTTATCATACTGTATTATCTACTTATTGTCTGATAAATTTTTAGCAAGTCTGTTGAATTTTGTTAATGAATAAAACTAAAATCTTATTCACTTTTTCAGTTTTTATTATAACTATCATAGCTAATTTCACCCCCCCCCCCCTAAAAAAAAGAAAAAAAGATTTTTCATGGGCAAAGAAATCTTCATGTCTCCCTCACTATTATGCAATAGTTTTATAATGTTAGCATATTAGACTTCAGAGTTTACAGTACAAGTGCTATATTTTGCAGAAATACTGAGATTGACCTCTTTATGACTAAATTGATAATGAGGTAGGCATTAAGCACTGATTGAAAAGAAAGTCTGGTCCTTAGCAATTTTACAGTCAGATCAAGCCCAATTACAGTGAATAGATAGAGGAAGTTCATACTCTAACATCTACATGCATAATTCTTGCAAGTATTAAAGGATTTTCACTCAGGTGAGCGATGTGGCCCCTGGGCCTCTTGTTAAATTAACGATGAGAATTAAATATTCAATAATTCCTTATAATTTGATTTTGCTATTAATACCAATTCATATTATTTAATCATTGAATCATACATCATGTTTATGAAGAAACAATCATCTGTTTTGACAATATGATGATAAAGTACCCCCCAGAGTATAATATATTCACCGAGTCTGAAGGGCGAGTCAAATATTGTGCATTTAACGCATCTCAACTAAAACCAGCTCCTTAACTCTTTAATGATATTTTACGTATTATACATTCTATATACAAGATTAGTACATTATATTTGATACGTGTATATACCTACCCCGTTTGACTTTAATTTCTTTTCCAATTCTATCCGTAACTTCTTCTGTGATTCTTCCTCCTGTGACATGATGTTACAGACCGACTCTATGTCTGCTGTGCCCATCGCTGTAGAAAAAATATATATTAATAACTCGGTTATAACGAAGTCACTGGGACCTATGAAATTACTATATCCGTAATTTGTTATATTCGTATAAGGAATTCATTAAATTTATATAGATGGGGATCCAAGATAACTTCGCTATATCCGTGAATTCGCAATATCCGTGTTCGTACTAAACGAGTATTCTGTAGAATCTCTTTAAGCAGTGAACCAAAGGTCCTAGAGTGCTAGTTGTTAATACATGTCCCCGTGGAAAGCATGATTCCTCCTTTAAGCAGTGAAGAAGAGGTCCTAGAGATTTTTATTTATTAAAACATGTATACATAATTACCCCCGTGGAAAGCCTGGTGCCTCTCTAAGCAGTGAACCAGTACGACATTATCACCAGTCCGTCTGAACTGTTCCAGATACCCTGTAAGTACAAATGAAATAAAAATGTAATGGTCGCCAGACAAAATTCTTTTTTGTCTGAAGCTTGAATTATAATTATGGAAAGTGCATTCCCAAGCATTTGAATTTCAAAGTGACAAATTTTAGGGTTTTTTTTAGCTCTACTGGTCAGAGACCAGAAGAGCTTATGCGATTGTAATATGTCCATCCGTCTGTCTAGCTGTAGACTAGACTAAGATACATAATTCTTTGTATAGGTTTTTAATTTCAATGAACAGTGTTGCCATGGTTACTAAAAATAGAAATTTCTGTGAAATACTTTTAAAATGCTACTCCTCCTACAGTTTTGGTCTAATTTCAATATAACTTGGCACACAAGTAGACTACACTAAGATACATAATTCTATTTATGGGTTATTGATTTCGATGAACGGTCTTGCCTTGGTTACTAAAAATAAAAATTTCTGTGAAATGCATTTAAAATACTACTCCTCTGACAGTTTTGGTCTTATTTCAATATAACTTGGCACACAAATAGACTACACTAAGATACATAATTCTGTTTATCGGTTTTTGATTTCGATGAACGGTGTTGCCGTGGTTACTAAAAGGTAGAAAATTTTGTGAAATACTTTTAAAATGCTACTGCTCTTACAGTTTTGGTCTGATTTATATAACTTGGCACACAAGTAGACTACACTAAGATACACAATTCGATGAACGGTGTTGCCTTGGTTACTAAAAAGTAGAAAATTCTGTGAAATTTTTTTAAAATTCTACTCCTCTGACAGTTTTGGTCTGATTTCAATATAACTTGGCACACAAGTAGACTACACTAAGATACATAATTCTGTGTATCGGTTTTTGACTTCAATGATTCAAACGGTGTTGCTGTGGTTACTAAAAATAGTAATTTTTGTGAAATACTTTTAAAATGCTACCACAATTACAGTTTTGGTCGGAATATACTATAATTCATCATGCAAGTAAACTACTTTGAGATACATATTTATCAGTTTTTTTGTTCCTGATTTTGCTGATTGATGTTGCTAAACATTGGAAACTAAAATTGAAAATTCTGTGAAATTTTATGAAGAGCCACTCCACATTTGAAGTCTTATTTCAATCTTATAAAAAGAGACTTAATCAAGTATCATTATTCTATTTATTGCTTTTTTAAATGTTTTTAAAAGTCCCAACTGCTACTTTTCTTTTATTTTAATTACAAACCAGTAGACCTACAGTCTCAACAGAGACTTCTGTTTTTTTTTTTCTGGAGGATTTCAAAATGAAGAGGAAGAATGCATTTAAGGGATATTTCAAGGATTGGAAGAGAACTTCCTGTAAAAAGTCACATTTAAAATTCAATGTTTATTTATGATTATTAACTATTTTGTACCTCATATATGACTAATTTTTAAAAAAATTTTCATTAAAAAAAAAAAAAAAAAACTTTATTATTTGGATATTTTTAATTAACCTAAAAGAAATTGGCTAAAACAGTTGCATTCGGATCATGATCTACAGGGACCAAATAATATAAGAGGAATTCCAAATGGATACGATTTATTTGTTTAATTTTCTCATCCAAGACTCGCTTCCTTCGATTACTAGATTAAAACAGACGAAAACGAATAAATAGAAAAATACTCAGTAAAGTTTTTGACAAAATATTTATGGAGTATGAATGGCGGGTGAACTCTTGGGTGCAATGTATAGATTGATCAATTTTCAGAGCTAGGTTAAGAAAAAGAAAACAATACTTGTGTATAGAATAAAAACCGGGTGATAATATACATACACTGAAATGCAATATCGGAATGGCTGCTTCCGTCCACGGCTATCACCACGTTACGGGCTGGACCATTCTTAGACTCCATACTGGATTACACAGTTTTCTCAGGGTTTTGGGGTGTTTTTTTTTGTTTTTTTTTTTTTTTTGAGCGACGAGGTCACCCCTGGTCACTTACAGCACGACCCAGGATCTTTATCTGGTCACTGTGTTTACACGTGATAAAACAATGACCCACAATCAGTTACGTCTGTAGACAATATATATTATAAATAATTGATTTAATTGAACAAAAACATTGAAGATGACATGTTATTGGTGAAATTAGGAAAGAAAGTCGACCCACTCTCTTCAACTTCCCACCCATTTGTTACATTATTTTGAAATTTTAGATCTAAAGTTTAAACTTATGTATAACTATAGATAAGTTTAAAGTTAAGAATTAAACTTTTAACGTAGCACAATTTAGGCGCCTTACCTTGCTGACAGAATATGACTGACTACTAAAATGGGACAAAGATAACACGAGTAATCAATGAAAAATACACAAACGATACAATTTGTGAACGGAGCACAAAATAGGGATCCCAAGAAATTTCACAGGTAAGATCAGGAGCTAAGACGGAGTAAGCATCCCCTTTTGACCGGAGATATCCGCCATAAACTCTCTATATGCTAATCAGGTTGGCGGAACATTTCATAGACAAACTTAGTATAAATTAAGATAATTAACAGTTGGTATGAAACATGTCTGCCAAAACTCCATCCAATTAGTTATATTTGTCATCAATGTCATTATAACGGTCATGGAATTTAACGAAAAGCTGACTGTAAAAAAAAAATTGTTGAAATCTACTTGACATTAGCCTGTCTTGGATTGAAATTTGGTCGTTTAAAGAGCATACTTAAGTCGGAAGATGCTGATACCATCTACAGATGATAAATAGTGGATTCCTCCTACGTAAATATAAAGAAAGTTGATGATGGAAAAGCTATGTATCGTCATCTCGTTTGTCCTTCAGTTTAGTTGTAAGTTTGCCTTTGTCGTGTATATGAAAGTGGGGTGGCTAATTAAAAGTGGGGTGGCTAATTGAAAGTGGGGTGGCTAATTGAAAGTGGGGTGGCTAATTGAAAGTGAGGTAGGTAATTGAAAGTGAGGTGGCTAATTGAAAGTGAGGTAGGTAATTGAAAGTGGGGTGGCTAATTGAAAGTGGGGTGGCTAATTGAAAGTGGGGTGGCTAATTGAAAGTGGGGTGGCTAATTGAAAGTGAGGTAGGTAATTGAAAGTGGGGTGGCTAATTGAAAGTTGGCTGGCTAATTGAAAGTGAGGTAGGTAATTGAAAGTGAGGTAGGTAATTGAAAGTGAGGTAGGTAATTGAAAGTGGGGTGGCTAATTGAAAGTGGGGTGGCTAATTAAAAGTGGGGTGGCTAATTGAAAGTGGGGTGGCTAATTGAAAGTGGGGTGGCTAATTGAAAGTGAGGTGGCTAATTGAAAGTGAGGTAGGTAATTGAAAGTGGGGTGGCTAATTGAAAGTGGGGTGGCTAATTAAAAGTGGGGTGGCTAATTGAAAGTGAGGTGGCTAATTGAAAGTGGGGTGACTAATTAAAAGTGGGGTGGCTAATTGAAAGTGGGGTGGCTAATTGAAAGTGGGGTGGCTTATTAAAAGTGGGGTAGGTAATTGAAAGTGGGGTGGCTAATTGAAAGTGGGGTGGCTAATTGAAAGTGGGGTGGCTAATTGAAAGTGGGGTAGGTAATTAAAAGTGGGGTGGCTAATTGAAAGTGGGGTGGCTAATTGAAAGTGAGGTAGGTAATTGAAAGTGGAGTGGCTAATTAAAAGTTGGGTGGCTAATTGAAAGTGAGGTGGCTAATTGAAAGTGGGGTGACTAATTAAAAGTGGGGTGGCTAATTGAAAGTGGGGTGGCTTATTAAAATAGGGGTAGGTAATTGAAAGTGGGGTGGCTAATTGAAAGTGGGGTAGGTAATTAAAAGTTGGGTGGCTAATTGAAAGTGAGGTAGGTAATTGAAAGTGGGGTGGCTTATTAAAAGTGGGGTGGCTAATTGAAAGTGGGGTGGCTAATTGAAAGTGGGGTGGCTAATTGAAAGTGGGGTGGCTAATTGAAAGTGAGGTAGGTAATTGAAAGTGAGGTGGCTAATTGAAAGTGAGGTAGGTAATTGAAAGTGGGGTGGCTAATTGAAAGTGGGGTGGCTTATTGAAAGTGAGGTAGGTAATTGAAAGTGAGGTGGCTAATTGAAAGTGAGGTAGGTAATTGAAAGTGGGGTGGCTAATTGAAAGTTGGCTGGCTAATTGAAAGTGAGGTAGGTAATTGAAAGTGAGGTGGCTAATTGAAAGTGAGGTAGGTAATTGAAAGTGGGGTGGCTAATTGAAAGTGGGGTGGCTAATTAAAAGTGGGGTGGCTAATTGAAAGTGGGGTGGCTAATTGAAAGTGGGGTGGCTAATTGAAAGTGGGGTGGCTAATTGAAAGTGGGGTGGCTAATTGAAAGTGAGGTGGCTAATTGAAAGTGGGGTGGCTAATTAAAAGTGGGGTGGCTAATTGAAAGTGAGGTGGCTAATTGAAAGTGGGGTGACTAATTAAAAGTGGGGTGGCTAATTGAAAGTGGGGTGGCTTATTAAAAGTGGGGTAGGTAATTGAAAGTGGGGTGGCTAATTGAAAGTGGGGTGGCTTATTAAAAGTGGGGTAGGTAATTGAAAGTGGGGTGGCTAATTGAAAGTGGGGTGGCTAATTGAAAGTGAGGTAGGTAATTGAAAGTGGGGTGGCTAATTAAAAGTGGGGTGGCTAATTGAAAGTGAGGTGGCTAATTGAAAGTGGGGTGACTAATTAAAAGTGGGGTGGCTAATTGAAAGTGGGGTGGCTTATTAAAAGTGGGATAGGTAATTGAAAGTGGGGTGGCTAATTGAAAGTGGGGTAGGTAATTAAAAGTTGGGTGGCTAATTGAAAGTGAGGTAGGTAATTGAAAGTTGGGTGGCTAATTAAAAGTGGGGTGGCTAATTGAAAGTGAGGTGGCTAATTGAAAGTGGGGTAACTAATTAAAAGTGGGGTGGCTAATTGAAAGTGGGGTGGCTAATTGAAAGTGGGGTGGCTTATTAAAAGTGGGGTAGGTAATTGAAAGTGGGGTGGCTAATTGAAAGTGGGGTAGGTAATTAAAAGTTGGGTGGCTAATTGAAAGTGAGGTAGGTAATTGAAAGTGGGGTGGCTAATTGAAAGTGGGATGGCTTATTAAAAGTGGGGTGGCTTATTAAAAGTGAGGTAATAAATGTCAATGACAATGACAATGACAATGATTTATTCTCTTAAATGTACATACATACATTGTAGAGAGGAGGAAGGAAAATGTACAAACACATACAAAAAATATAATACATGCATTATAAACAGTACAAAGTATCATGTTCAAGTTCATGTCAATTATTTTCATCTATAATTTGTTTGACAATCAATAAAAATTTACATAATTTTTTCAATGCTGAACAATTTGTTGTTGTAAAAAGTTGCTTAAATTTCTCTATATTTGGTCTACAGGTGAAAGAGTTTGAAATCTATTTTAACCTAGCCTCTTTAATTTCTTTTTGCGTGCATTCAAAAAATAATGGAATTCATCACCAATCTTATGAAAATCACATAAGGTACAAATTCTTTGTTCTCTTGGAATACCAAACCATCTCCCAGTTTCAATAGGGAGGTTAAAGTTGCTACATCTAAATTTACATAACAAAATTGAAAATTTTCTAGGTAAATTAACGAGATATCTTTCTGGTTCTAGTATTTCTTTATAAATACGATAATTTACACCCTTTGATGAGTTAAAAACATTACTTTGCCAGTTTTGGATATTTTGGTCAACAAGTATTCTTTTTACTTCATTTTTTACCCATGCTATATTGTACATTTGTTGTGTTGTCCATAAATAAGATAATCCACAATCATCTAAAATATTTTTAACATAGTTAACCCAAGGCAAATTATGCCTTGAAGCTAGAACATACATTTTTGTAGCAAATTTATCCATCGTTTGAGAAAAATGTAGTTTTGCCCAAAAAGAAATCATTCTCACCTTAATATTAATGATAAGTGGGAATCTGCCAAGTTCCCCATACACCATGTAGTTTGGCGTTTTAGTGTTCAAACCTAGTATATATTTACAATATTTTAAGTGAAGTTTTTCGATTAAAGTATTTTTTGTAAATCCCCATATTTCACATCCATATAACAATACTGGTTGTACAATTGTAGGTAATTAAAAGTGGGGTGGCTAATTGAAAGTGAGGTGGCTAATTGAAAGTGGGGCTGCTAAGCCAACAAAAAAAAGGTAAACCCCAATTTTCAATGTCTCTATTATTTCCATCTATGCAAAAAAGGGGGCTAACTCCCATCTAGCCCTAGCACCCTGGTTCCGACGCCTATGGCCTTTTTGACAATATTGCACCCACCAGGAGTGGGGTGGGTGGTGATTCTATGATAATTTTCTATAGTACAAAATAAGCCCCCCTAATGCTTCATGTTTGATTTCCTATACTCGCAATGTGTTGCCCAAAGATATGAGAATAATTATCATACATGTATCTACTGTATTTTGCTTTTAACGATTACTTTTAAATATTGTTCTAATAGTTTTTGTAGTACATACCGGGTAATTTATACTAGTAGGTAAGAAAAGATGTCAACTTTAAACTCATGTTACAATATGACCCTACCCTTTATATATTTTTTACAGTGCTAGTGTTCTTATATTTGTATTGTTTTTCCCCATGTGTACATTGTTTTGGGTCTCACAACATGGATGTATACAGATTTACCGATACAGCGCGCCTCTTTTTTATGTATTTAAATCGCCGTTTGACCGACTTATTTGGAAGTTTGTTGAGCGTTAAATCGATATTGTCTAATTAGATATTAACAGGGATGCATTGTATTTCAAAAAATACGTTTATAAAAATTCAATCAGGCATGTATAAACTTCAAGATTAAAGCTTGTTTTGAGCTGAATTTGGTAGTAATAGTAGTATTTGAAAATGGGACAACGTCATAGTAAATTGGCTCCGAAAACTTTAGCCGAGCTGAGAGATCAGACGAACTTCACTGTGGAGGAACTTAATGAGTGGTACAAAGAATTCAGAAGTAGCTGGCCGAAAGGAGCCCTGACAGTGGACGAGTTTAAGAAGGCCTACTCCACTTTCTTCCCGCTAGGGGACGCCTCGGAGTTCGCCAAGCACGTGTTTCGGGTGTTTGACCAGAATGATGATGGTTTGCTGGACTTCCGGGAATTCGTCTGCGGGTTTAGTGTCGTCCTGAGAGGAAGTGTTGACGACAAACTGTCCTTCAGCTTCCAAATCTACGACATTAACGGCAACGGATTTATCACCAGAGACGAAATGAAGGAGGTGCTTTCTGTACGTATAAAGATTTAGCTAAAATTTGAACTTCGTTGCATCTTGGTCTTTGCAGCATATTTGAAAATTTACCGCGAGATAGTAGATCATGCATGCAGTTGTATCGTGGGCCTTGTATTACGCTTTTAAGTTTTTTTTTGTACTTTAGTTCATAAATTATAAATTTTCACGACATTAACTTTATAATTAACAATGTAAACATCTAAATCCTTCAAGAAAGAATAGGGGCACGCGAATAAGCCGAAAATATCAATGCTGAAAATACGTCAATGAATAAAAGAGAGCAAACCATTCAATTAGAAATACTTAGAAATCAACGAAATACTTCATTTATTATTGAAACAATATGCTACAGTTTCAGTAGCCTTGAAAGTATTTACTAATAGAATAGCATGTGCCCAATGAAATTTCTCTGTAATTTAGGCGACATACAAGATGGAGAGCGCGCTGTCACCTGACGTGTGTGTAGTATTATAATAGTAAATCTACCTTTCTCTGTAATTTAGGCGCGCTGTCATCTGACGTGTATCTAGTTTTATAATAGTAAATCTACCTTTCTCTGTAATTTAGGCGCGCTGTCAGCTGACCTGTATCTAGTATTATAATAGTAAATCTACCTTTCTCTTGAATTTAGGCGCGCTGTCACCTGACGTGTTTCTAGTATTATAATTGTTAATCTACCTTTCTCTGTAATTTAGGCGCGCTGTAACCTGACGAATTTCTAGTATTATAATT